AGGTGTGTGTCTGTGTGCAGGCTGTCAGTTGGCAAACCGATGGATGTGCTGCTCTGCTGTCTCCGCAGGCTGAGTCAGACAGAGGCGCCTTTTCAGTCGCCAAATCAGCCCGGTCACCCAGGGGAGGTTCTCTCTATAAAGCATCTCGTACGACATTTGAAGTTTGAATTTGACAGCTTTTTTTTTTTAATGTTTTTTCTTGGTCTTTCACTCGGTTTCTTTTTCTTCACTGGATCATTCTATTGCTTTGACTGCATCCCACCCATTCACAACCTACTTTTCTTTCCCCACAGATTTTGCCCGCCCTCTGTGTGCTAATATATCACACCGATATAAATGTAAGTTCTGGGGGAAAAAAGGATCTCATTTTGTATTCACTGATAAATCCATAAAAATCCCTTGTTTGTGCCGTTTTTTAAGACTTTGATGTGTCTGCATGTTTAGATCCTAGTAGACACAGTGTGGGCTTTGTCCTATCTGACGGACGGGGGCAACGAGCAGATCCAAATGGTCATTGATTCTGGAGTTGTTCCATTTCTTGTTCCTCTCCTCAGTCACCAGGAGGTCAAAGTTCAGGTCAGACTTTGTTTTATTGATTGAATGCATTGATCTTTGACTTCATCTACAGTGAGATAAACATTTATTCCTAGATGAATTACCAAAGTAATTTTAAGTTATTGATTTTGCTTAAACCTGCAGACGGCAGCTCTAAGGGCAGTGGGTAACATCGTGACCGGAACAGACGAGCAGACACAGGTTGTGCTCAACTGTGACGTCCTCTCGCACTTCCCCAACCTGCTCACTCACCCAAAAGAAAAGATCAACAAGGTATCATGACCGCAGCACCAACCTTTGTTTTGTTATTTAATTTTGTATGAGTTTTAGGGAGTAGAAGAGTAGAATTATATTGATTGTTTAATCTGCTGTATGCCTTGTTTGTGTGGCAGATGTAGAGCCAGTTATGAGCGTTCGTGATTGGTCTGTTTACAGGAAGCGGTCTGGTTCCTTTCCAACATCACGGCTGGGAACCAGCAGCAGGTCCAAGCTGTGATAGATGCCGGACTGATTCCCATGATCATTCACCAACTGGCCAAGGTTTGTGCTCGGTGGAAGAACCGAAAATAACATCCCAGAAGCTGTCTTCTGTTATACGCATGGTATAAGACACGGTTGCCATCACTCGTAAGCATCCAGTTGCATTGACACATTCCATGTTCCGTGGCCAGAGAAGCAAAACGACTATTGAGGGAATTAATTGAATGCAAATGTGGCCTAGATTAGAGCGTCTCAGTGACAGTCTGTCTCTCCGCAGGGGGACTTTGGTACACAGAAGGAGGCAGCGTGGGCCATCAGCAACCTCACCATCAGTGGGAGGAAAGACCAGGTGAGCTGTTCTTTGGGACCAGCAATAAAGAAACCTGGAGCTTGTTTGAATGCTTGTTGTGTTTTTATTTTAACGCAGAAAACCGAAATGAGTCATTCATACAATATTCCATGATTTAATAAGCAAACGTTTACCTCACTGTTTCAGCTGAAGTTGATTTATGTTTGAATTACAAGGCCCGTTCCACACTTGTAACCATGCACCTGTGTTGTGTAATCAAGTATGGATGTGGTATGTATGTGTGGGTTTGTGTAGGTGGAGTTCCTGGTGGAGCAGAACGTGATCCCCCCCTTCTGTAACCTGCTGTCGGTGAAGGACTCCCAGGTGGTGCAGGTCGTCCTGGACGGCCTGAAGAACATCCTCATCATGGCAGGAGATGAAGCCAGCACTATCGCAGAGATCATAGAGGAGTGTGGAGGTCTGTATCTGCCCGCTGGTTTCATTGCATCATTTGTCCGTTCGCTCTCATTGTTTTTATCACCTAATAATGAAGTTGTATGTTATGAAGGATTTTATGTATTTTGTTTTAAGAACTCGATTTCTTGGTTTTAAAACCTTTAAAAAACAAGTGCATATTTTCAGCCTTCTTGATTGCATAATTCAACTGTATGTTCCTGCAATTGTTGGTATTAATGTCAGGAAATGTTTTGGTGTTTCAGGTTTGGAGAAGATTGAAAATCTGCAGCAACACGAGAATGAAGATATCTACAAACTAGCCTTTGAGATTATTGATCAGTACTTTTCAGGGGATGATGTAAGTTTATCACCAGCGGTTCCTTTGTCTGTTCTTTCCTGTCACCATATCGCTCCGCGGTCATCTCCCAAACTCTGTCTCTTTTGCAGATTGATGAAGATCCCAGCTTGATCCCCGACACAACTCAAGGAGGGACCTTCAATTTTGATCCAGCTTCCAACATGCAAACAAAGGAGTTCAATTTCTAAAAGCCACCTGCACGGGTACTCAAATCACCCCAGACATTCATCCATCTCTCCTCAGACCTGGCAACCTGGTACCGAAGGATTTACTAAGCATCACTTCAACACGGAAACTCACCACTGAAGGATTTACCCACCCTCCTCTGCACACGCGGGTGTATTTTTGTTGTTGTTTTTTAGTTTCTTTGTTAATGGGCATCCTTCACCAAACACTGCAACCCTATACGGGAGTCCTGGTCCTTCGACGGGAACCATCACCACCTGGCAACCTGCATCCGGAGGGTTGTTGCTATCCTCTGCCAATGCAGCGTCAAAATATCACACCGAAATAAAACCAGAAGGAAGGAAAAGCCTTTGTGGCAAGATTGAATTGCCAAATGGGGAGTCTGTGGAGACAAAAATGGGACGCGCAGTTTAGAGACCCACACACACACAAACACACTTTTTGACACTTTGAATTTGTGTGCATACTTCTGTTAGACGCCATCATATCACTTATGGGGGAAAAATACTGCTGTTTGTTTGTGGTTTAATTTTGTGCTTTTCCTCCCCTGGATTGTCCTCTGGTGTTACTTCACCTACGCGCACGCACACTGACGTATAAGTACACGCATTGACACACTTTAGACACGCATATTCCCGATGGTCGGGCACCCCAATAACCCTCTCACCCAGTCTAAAGAGTTGTTCACAGAGCTAACCCACAAGTAACCGCCGCTGCCTCCCCAGGAGAGTCCTGGGGCGGTTGGAGGGGAGGGGGGGACTGAGGGGTCCGAGGCAAAACGGACTGACGGGACTTCTGACTCGATGACGTCGCTTTTTTTAATGTGACATCTGTTGAACTATAAAGCTTAACGTGTGGTCACAAAAAGAATATACAAACATGTGGAGAAAAGGCCATATTTTTCTTTGGAAACCTGCAAATTGCCTGCTTCCGACTCAGCAGAGCGACAACTATTTAGTTTTCTCCGAGGGGGACCTGACGAGGTGGTGAGGACGCAGAGACTTAAGAGAAGACGAACATGTCGGCTGTAACTTTCACCACTCAACAGGACATCCAGCTGCACAGCTCGAGCTCGTCCTATGTTCCAGTGAACTGCTCGCTTGGGACTTCACTGTAAAGTGAAACCTTTTGATGGGGGCGCCTTGGTCAACAAAAAAAACCCCATTGCGCTGAAATCGACCTGAATTTCTTATCTGACCTTTTTTGATCTTATTTGAAATTCTCTAAACGTTTTTGGGTTTGAGTTTCAACTTCTGGTTGAGTCGGTGCAGCTTCCATGTGTCCGTTTTGAATTGACTCTCCTTCCTTCAGTCTTATGCACACGTCTGAGAAGGCCCACTGATGTCTGCCTGCAGGAAGGGACCTACACCCATTGAAGAATAGACTTGTACGGCGAGTATAAGTCCTGATTTCAGTACTTGGCTAGTTTTCGCTGAAGAGGTCACATGTCATCACTCAATTTCGACAACTGTACAGAAATGTGATGTCAATCTCTCCTTGCCGTCTAATGAATATATTTACATAAAGCCTGTACAAAGCTGCTGCAGCTGACAGTCATTGGATGGACGATAACCGCACTGTCAAAGACGGCTGGGGAGGGTTTTGGGTTTTGTTGTTGGAGCAATATTTCTTTGGTTTCAATGTTTTTATTTTTGACTTGCATATGTATTGTGATGACATGCTGATGACTTGGAAGAGGCTGTTTTTTTTCTCCTCTCTCTCGCTTGGTGGTGACGGGCTGTTTAAGACGTGCCGTCCCAGTTGTTGAGCTCTGTTCCGGAAGACTTGATGATCCTCTGGTTGGCTGCTAACTACTGAGAAGGGGTCAGAACCGGGTTGGGGGGGTCACACGTTTTAAATATTGGGTGGGGTTGTTATGAGCAGCCCAGGCTTGTTTTTGGGGACTAGCTGTTTGTTACTGAACAAAAATATAGAGATGGTGTACAGTCATGAACTAGCAGACTAGATCGAGCCACTTTAAAGATTTACAATTGCGTTGCCTTGTATCTGAATTGGATACAAGCTTATGTTTGTTGCAAGATTTTTACTTGCTAATGAAAAGTTGTTTTTAAATAAAGTAATAGGAGAAAAGCAACAGACAGCGTTTTGGCCTCTGATTGTTTTTATCTTTTTATAAATTTTAGATTGAATTTCTCTCTTTAAGGTGGCTCATTGATGCGTTCAACTCTTGTGCATATTAAAGACAAGATCGAGTTGAAAATCATCGTGCCTTTTTGTTTTTCATTTCAACTAAAACTAGGTTTTATTGAATAGAAACAATTCTTTGAGCGACTTGAGAGTTTTGAAGAGGGAGCGCCGGTAACATGTGATCTCCCTGTTTGCTATGGGAATGGTCAATGCTGCTCTCCGCTGAGAGTTCCTGCTCGCCTCCATTTAATTCACTGAACATTGTTACAAACATTTCCTCCCGCTCATTTAGCGCTCGAACACCACAAATCGCCATCGCCATACATCAGTCAGGGTGTTTTAATGTGGTCTCACCCTCAGGACGTCATCTGTGTTTCTGATCCTAACCAAAATAAACTTGCTGTTTAGCCATCGGCTCTTCCGTGCTTTCAAGTGTTGTGATTCACTCATACAGTTCGTTAAATTCAAGCTGTATGAGGATGGAATGTGAAAGAGGCTTTTTGCATGCTTGGTTTCCTGCATTTGTGAGTAGGAGGAATAACGTTGGTATATTGGATGCACACAGGTCATTTCATGCAGTGGGATGATTCGCTCTTGCTGCGTTCAGGTTTATTGCAGTTCGTAACCCAAATGTGCCACAGAATGAGATTGTCCTCCTGAAAAGAACTCTCACCAAGGCTTATGGTGTGGAATTTGATTGGTTGGGTTTTAATTGCTGATTTTATGCTTGGTCAGGAATTCATTTAATTTTAAATTACTGAATTATCTCTTAATCTATTAAAGTAAACATGGGGCAGGCTGTTGATGCAGCGTACCAACTTTTGACTTAACATTGAAAGTTCATTTATTGAAATTACGAAGGCCAAAACTACTCAACACACTTTAAAAATGATTTATTAAACAACTCTTCAGACAAAACTACCAGATCGTTATATGCCAAATCTGGTGAAATTGTCCTTCCACGGCCTCGCGGACCGGATTCAGAGCGCTCCATCTACCGAGCTCCTCCTGCAATCGATTACTTTGGTCTATTAATCACGTGACATTGTTATCTTTGTTTTTTTCCCTCCTCACTTCCGCAAATAATCGCCAGTTGCAGCTGAGCTCGGAGGCTCCAGCAGCGACCCGCTGACGGACACAGCGTGTTCCGGGGAAACAGTCGCCGCAGAGCCGCTAAAGACCCACCCGGCCGCCCAGCAGCGGACTTTTATTTTTTTTAATCAGGTGGGTTTAAGGAAAACATTCATATTGTTATTCCCTAGCTTTTGACAGTTGTTCCACTGTTGTTGTTGTTTTTTCTTCTCCGGGATGCTTTTGTTGGCCCGACGTGTCCAGCAGCGGCTCCGCTCAGCTGGACGTGGTGGCCATTGTTACTGGTCCCCGCGCGCACCCCGTGAACTCACGTCCGCACGTGTTTACTCACGCGCACGTTGAGTCCATTCACCTGGACGGAGAAAACGTTTTAACTTCGCGGGTTTTTGAGCTGTTTTCACATCTGCGACGGGTAACGAAGCACGTGAGTGTAAACATTCAAAACCTAAAACCGAGCAGACGTTATTTGTCGGATAGTTTGTTTCAGAAATTACTTCCAAGTGAGTTTGGATCTATTTCCTCATACACTGGAATGTCCTGCGTGGACACCCCGAGTGAGTAAATTCACAAGGCAGCTATCCACCTCTCACGCTATTAGAATGACAAACCGGTTGTTTTTAAGCTTGAATCCACCATTATTGTCACACATATTCTTGGATCCAACGCCGTGAGATTAAGCTTCTGTATTTCAAATAAGCTCTTCTCTTCTCCACTCCCATTCGATTGTGCATTGCCTGAAATAATGTTTCTCTGGGTGCACAAATGTCCTTGATGCTCCCTGGTTGTATTTTCACATCACTCCCAACAGCAGCCCTGGCCCGCTGACACCCGCCCATGCCGCTGCCTTTGGATTGAGGTTGGTCCCACAGACTCCCAGCGAGCGCGCCATGGTGGATGTGACCAAGTGGCCCGTGTTCAGCCTGATGGGGAACCAGGAGCTGGCCACCATAAGAAAAGCCAGCGTGTTTGGAATGTCCGCTAATGAGGCCATCTACGTCACCAAAGACGACGAGGTGAGATGCCACAGGGGGGGGAAACAAATCGGTGTGTTTACATGATGGTATAATCATGTGTTTACATGAAACGGATCATTCGATTTGAGTCCGACTAAGCCAGTTATTCGAGTCCCTGTAACACGCTGAATCAGGCGTTTGTCTTCACTAGTTGTCGTTATTGGGACCAGTAGTTATTGTCACACGGTGATGAAGTGGCTCTGTGTTTAAAGCTGCACCAAACAATTTATTCTTTATTCAGAATGGATCACATCCCCACTCCAGATCTCTTAAGCATTTTAGCGCCTTTCAGCTTATTGTTTTTGGTTTTGCTGTGTTTGGCTTGACTCTCACTGTCAAGAAAAAAAAATCACTTAAACACTTTTTGAATGGCAACTTCAAGAGCTTCTAGTTTGAATGTTGTGCTTGGGCCGTGTGTTTGATCTTGAATGTCAAACTGCGGGCTGCTGCTGCCGGCCCGGCTCGTCACCTCTCTGTAGCGATGCTGTGTGTTCTCCTATCAGCGCTGCCAAGGAGCAATGTTTGTTTCTGCGATGTGACCTGATGCCCACTGAGCTGAAGGAGAATGTCTACAAACTCTCCAGGTGTACGTGTTCGGCTTGAACTGCAGCAACTGTCTGGGAACGGGGGACAGCCAGAGCAGCATTGTGCCCAAGAAGCTGGACTTCCTGAGCGGCAGGAAGGTGGTCCGCCTGAGCTACGGCAGCGGACCCCACGTGCTGCTGGCCACGGAGGGTATCTGCACACCACCTCTAATCCTCCTCGCCACAGTTGGAGTGTAAAAAGCTGACGCTGGATGACTCATCTCTGTTTCAGACGGAGAGCTATTCGCCTGGGGTCACAACGGCTACAGCCAGCTTGGAAATGGCACAACCAACCAGGGGGTCGCTCCGGTGCTCGTGTCCGCCAACCTGCTCAATAAGAAAGTCACTGACGTGGCGTGTGGCTCTCACCACTCGATGGCTCTGACTGACTCGGGAGAAGTGAGTGTTTACGACGCGGCATAAATATATAATCGCTTCAAAACCCCTTTTGTGACTACATGTGATTCGGCTCTGGCCAAACCGCAGGAGTTGATCCCCCTGAGCTGAAGACTTGGAAAACCCAGCCGGCTTTATACTGTAACGCGCTGTTATCCTGCTGTTACACAACGTCCTTTTTTCTTTTCTTTTTTTTGCGGTTGAAATTCCCAGAAAGGGGATCGTGAACGAGTTCATCTCGAATGTGTCGATAGGTAAAGTAATCGCTCGACATTCTCGACACTTTCTTGCCGACATTCAGATGAGAAGATTGATGGATCTTTTATTTCTGTACGCTACAAACTCTGCTAACCAGACTATTCCTTGGGTAGGACTTGTGAATACTACACTGGTTGCATGGCAACTGGTTTTTGCACCAGTGGTGCTGGTTCAGGTCAAATGTACCAATGTTAAATATCAAGCTTTTCTTTTGAGCTGCAGTGATTTTTGATATGACTACAATACACCACGCTGCCCTCGGGACGTCATCGGAGACATTCAGTACAGCTCCTGTTGGAATTCCATTTGAAAAATATAAAAAACATTATTATGAACTACAGCTATTAGCATTGCATTAACCCTTCCAACAAGTAACTTACCTCTGTAGTAAGACGCCTGGCTGCTGTACATATAATAATCACTTGGTTTGACCGGTCTTTTCACCTTTTTAACCCCACGTCTCCTAGGTGTACGCGTGGGGTTACAACAACTGTGGCCAGGTTGGTTCTGGCTCCACAGCGAACCAGCCCACCCCCCGCAGAGTGTCCAGCTCCCTCCAGAGCAAAGTGGCCGTCAGCATCGTCTGCGGGCAGAACTCGTCTCTGGCAGTAGTGGAGAATGGAGAGGTAACTCCTGGAGCTCCAAATGGCGCGTTGTCCGTCTCCGGCTGCCGCAGCGCTCACGTTCTCTCCGCGTCTCTGCAGGTGTACGGTTGGGGCTACAATGGGAACGGACAGCTGGGACTTGGAAATAATGGGAACCAGCTGACTCCCTGTCGCCTTGCAGCTCTCCAGGGTTTATGTGTGCAACAGGTGTGAGATTACACCGACATAAACATCTATATTTGTGCACTTACTCGGGAAGTTAATGCATCATAGAACTTCATAGATAGAAAGTGGGTGATATTCTGCTTTTTTTTTATTTCCTCCATCACAATGATGGACAATTATTAAAAAGTAACCAGAAATAAAGTGATACCTTTTGTTTTACAAAGATTCAAAGTTATTCAATTAACAAAACAGTTATTCCTCACATTAGAAAAGCAGCACACTGCATTGGGACCTGAACCAAAATAGACTCTTCTTCATAGCTGTTGTTGTAGAGTAGGCCTCGTTGTGAAAGCATTTAATACATTGAATCTGGCGTGTTGGAATAGTGTAAAGTGTCTGTTTTGCTCCCCAGATAGTGTCCGGCTACGCCCACTCGCTGGCCCTGACGGACGAGGGGCTGCTGTACACTTGGGGCGCCAACACGTACGGACAGCTGGGGACGGGCAACAAGAGCAACCAGCTGAGCCCCGTGCACATCATGACGGAGAAAGAGAGGTGAGCGAGACCGCCGGCACGCGCCCCCCCCCCCCCCACGTCCTCCATGCTAACTCCCTGCTGCGCCCCTCCTCTCCTTCCCCCACAGGATTGTGGAGGTCGCCGCCTGTCACTCCACGCACACGTCGGCCGCCAAGACTCAGAGCGGTCAGGTGTACATGTGGGGCCAGTGCCGGGGCCAGTCCATCGTGCTGCCTCACCTCACGCACTTCGCCTGCACCGACGACGTCTTTGCGTGCTTCGCCGCGCCCTCCGTCATGTGGAGGCTTCTCTCCACGGGTAAGGCGACTGGGCTCACGCGTGCGCTGATTAAAAGACAGCACAGGTGGCCTCACCGGGCTTAACGTTGTGTTACTGAGGAGAATATTCTAACGCCAGCGTAAAGACCGCCATGTTCCTTTCTGGAGAAATGTCCTTGAAAGAAAAACAATTTGATTCCCCATGAATTTGTCGTTCATTCACAGGAGACATTTTTATTTGAAATGAAGGGATGACGACTGATGTTCTATTGAAATGTCCCTGTAAGTCTGTGGTCTGCTGGCAGAACAAAGGCTCGGCTCTTTTCCTTTGGCCCCGGCCGGCGGTGAAAAGACCAAAATAATCAACTGGCTTGAGTTTTTAAAATCAAAGGATTTAATAACAAACAAGCAAACCGTTACATTACGCTGTGGATGCCCTATTTCACTTTGTCATATAATAGAGAAACCTCCTCCTAATACCGCCATCAACAGCGGTTCTCAGGAGGCTTCTGCCTTCTCCACCACAGCTTTTCCAAACTCATGGGTTGTGGCCGTCATTTTGCAGCTGCCTGTGATTGGCTGCACATTTAAACGTAGCTCCTCCCACATTGGTCATCGTGACCTTCCCCTCTGCCGCCGAGCAGTTTAGGACTTTTCCAGCTCGCTCCGTCTGATGGACAGATCTGAATTCACTCACCTGACCAACCCTATTCACTTGTGATTGCACATTTACACCTTTTGTTCTAAAGCTTCTTCAAGTAAACGCAACATGTTTGTCACTAATATGTAATTCACTCTTGCATTGTCATATTTTATAACATCATAAACACAATGTTAAACTCTATTCTAAATCAGATGGTTGCCATGCGGGGGTTTCTTGTCTTTGCTCCTAAGCTTTAGCCTGAGGACAAAAAAACCTTCATCGGGGAGAAAATATGGAAGAAATCCATCAAAGAAGGTTTAACATCCTTCCATCAGGCTGAACATTACATTATGGATGGATGTCTGTACAGCATTAAATGACTTACTGTTCTAATATATCTTGTATCTGTAATATGTATAACGATCACACAAACCGTAATTCTAGTCCCGATCACACACGTTATAATTTCTACCGCTCTGCGTGTTTTTCTGCTCTAATTCCTAACATAAGCCGTGGCAGTGAGCCGGCGTGCACGACACCGCTGCCGTAATTCATTTACATCAATGCACATTCTTGTTCGAGGTCATTTGACCTGACGTCGCTCCGCAGTTTTGGATCCGCACACCTTGATGTAAATAGCTTGTTAGTGCCAAAATACACATTACTTTGACTGTAAATTATTATTATTCTGAATCCTTTTCAAAAACTGTGGTCATCTTGTGTTTTGAGTTGTAAAAATGTAACCAAGTGCCTGCTGGTTTTCTTACATCCTCTTGACACCAGCGTTGGGTGTTTTGTCTCTGCAGAGCCGGATGACTTCCTGACCGTGGCTCAGTCTCTGAAGAGGGAGTTTGACAACCCCGACACTGCCGACCTCAAGTTCTGCATCGACGGAAAATATATCCACGTCCACAAGGCTCTTCTCAAAATAAGGTCCGGCATCTTTCAGCTGTCGGCTGGCGTTATGATACTTAGAACAAATTTATTCTGTATTATTCATATTTCTTTGTCTCGCAAGGTGTGAACACTTCAGATCCATGTTTCAGTCCCACTGGAATGAAGACATGAAGGAGGTGATTCAAATAGACCAGTTCTCCTACCCGGTGTACCGCTCCTTCCTAGAGTTCCTCTACACAGACCATGTGGAGTTGCCTCCTGAGGACGCCATCGGTCAGAACCACACACACATCACAGCCTTGTCTTGATTAATACATTTTATTTATAACGCACTCTGCATCAACAGGTCTCCGAGTGCTTTCTAACTGGTGTTTATTGTTAATGTCTGTGCTTCTGCTCCATCAGGGCTGCTGGACTTGGCCACGTCGTACTGCGAGAACCGCCTGAAACGGCTGTGTCAGCATATTATCAAGAGGGGAATCACGGCTGAAAACGCCTTCTCGCTGCTGTCTGCTGCTGTGCGCTATGATGCAAAGGTCAGTCCGTACGGACGCTTTCATTTCTCCCAACGATGTAAAAACCTTTTCAGAGCTACTCACGCTGGTCATAAAACCAAGCATCCCGTTAAAGAACACCCTTTTGACCCTCAGGACCTGGAAGAGTTTTGCTTTAAGTTCTGTGTGAACCACCTGACCGAAGTGACCCAGACCGACGCTTTCTGGCAGATTGACGGCAACCTGCTCAAAGATTTCATATGTCGAGCCAGCCGCTGCGGTGCCTTCAAAAACTGACCCTAACCCCAAATCACAGTGGACATGGACGCAGGGGACGCCGGCAGCGACTTCTGGACGGACCCCCAATCGTAATATTAATCTCATTGCAGGTTAGAACCAGTGTGCATACTGAAGCAGGGGAGCGCCCGGTACTGTTCAGTTACAGTAGCAGTTTGCCTCACTGCCCATCTATTTACACACAATGTGTAAAGCAGGACTTGAATTTACTTGATCAAGTTGTCGATGAACTTGAAAGATTCGTGCCAGTCTCCTGGTTTCATTGACCTTACTTTGAAGTTACTTTTGTGTTTTCACTTGCTTGAGGTTTGATTTTGTTCTGAAGGCATCATCATCTTGTGGACGTGTCCTCTGGAATCACGGCTTTCAGGTATGAGGCGGTTTGCACTTTGAGTATCGGGACTGGTTCAAGTCTGTTGAGCTCAGACTACAGTCAGCGATTCTTATATATATTATAAACCCAGCGGCTGCGGTGTATGATGTCAGACGACCCAAAGAGAACTTGGGTTACACATGTGATCACAAAGTGATCATCTGCACGCTACGTTTGTTGATTCCTCATGTTGGAAAATGTTATTTTGTGCAGCTACCATAACATGGGGGGAAAAGTGTTTATTTCTAGAGCTCAAAACCGTTAACCTACAATTCCTCTGGTGTTACCTGGTTAATCTGTTTACAGGAAGACGTGAAAAAGCTTAAATTGAGTGAGTCTGGACTTTTTATCCAAACGACGTCCAATGTGTACTGAAGACAACTTTTTAAAGTTGTCGGTGCAACTGCTGAAGAATAGATCTTTACGACTTCAAATGGAGGGTGTTGCAACTCTACACGGCAATATATTTTATGTAAAAACAACTTGACAATTCATCAATAAAGCTGACTTAGCTGTGGATTAAGGATGCAGAAATTTCTTTCCAAATATTCTACTGTAGACAGCAACTCCTTACAACTGTTACCTCTGGGCCATGTTCCTCATACGTGGTTAACTGAGTTAGCCGGATCGTTTTCAGGATTAGGCTTTTCGGTTCCCCGAAGCACCATAAAAACACGAACGTACTCCGGCGCAGGTTTCATTTAAACTGCTGGATTAGTTCATCATTCCCCTGGGGAAAAAAAGGCAGCTCACTTTTTCATTGAAGCGACATCAGTTAAACGTTTTATAGGGAGACCACAAAGACGCTGAGGAATCATTTAACAAGATTTCCCCGTTAAATGATGAACACCACACGCTGCAGCCGAGCATCCACTGTCTGTATGGTGTGGCGATGCAGAGAACATCTGGGAAGCAGCAGCATGTCGTGCTCTTCGTAAAGTTGGTTTATTTGTCGCTTAATAAACTTCAATGGATAATGATTCTCCCATACACATTCACACACATAATAAAACCTAGTTCTATATGGTCACCTACATGTATCATATTCTTGGGCTTGTTTTTTTATTTACATACGAGTTGAGATCATCATTCATGAAGCCTCCTGCCAGCAGACACATTTAGAGTAACAACGCTACATTTATTGTTAACTTAGTCGGGCTTGTAGCCTCGCAGTGGGACGGTGTCAGCTGTTGCCATGATTATATGATTCATTTAATATTGAAAATTTGCCTCAGAGGTCTGTACACATGTGACAACCCTCACATCGGCACAGGAAAAACTCCCCAAACAATGAAAACGTATTTGATGGGAAGAAACCTTTAGTGAGGACGGACAGCATAAAATATGTATAATACATTTGATCTCATGATCATCTCCTGCTCCTCAGCGGAGAAATAAGACGCTCTTTAAGTTTATTTGCCGTTATAGAAGCTGGGCTGTTCCTGTATTTACCCAGTTTGAGGAACAACACATTGAGATTTCCACATACACGTCTTTCTGTTTGAGTAAATTTGACAGAAGACTAAATACCGACTCCCATCTTCAGTGCTGAGACGACCTCCTTCATAGCAGTTGTTGCCTTCTGTAATTCTGTTTGTTTCCGTTGTAACTCTGTGGAAACAGTGTTTTCCTTTTAGAAATCTGGACACAAATGGCAGCGCTCAAGTTCAATGCTTGTAGACATAAAACGGTTAAGCTCATCAAACTGACTGCAAAGGGTTTAATTGAAAAAATGTAATTAACTTGCTTAGCCTATTAATACATCGATATGGTGTATGCAGGAATCCTTTAGTTAGTAAGATGAGCATTACTCACTATCCTGATTGCCACTTTTCTGCTGCATCCCTCAATCAAAACTTTGACCATTAAGTCGGTACCATACAAAAGTCCTATTACTCTTAGACCTGGAATTGAAAGCAGCCTCCTGTGACCTTTGGCTCAGTGATCAATACCACCACATCCTCCTGCCTGACTCCACGCTGGCAGGTCGCTCCGCAGTGTGGGAGGAGGAGGACCAACCGATCTGCCTGCTGAGGTGCAGCAGGTGTTGAGGCTCAACTCAAATACTTCATTTCCATAATAATAACAAACCTACGTTCACGTAGAAAATAAAACGTAGACGCTTTACACACCTTCCTGCTGCTTGGCCACGAGCTCTGCCAGCTTCCCGTCAACAGTCATCACTGTTAGTGCGTGGTCGTAATCTGTGGGAAGAAGAGCGAGAGCTCAGACCTCCGTGCGTCGGAAACGTTCGGGTGCAGACGGTCGCTCACCCTCCCCGCTGGCTCGGTCCGACTGAATTCTGCTGCAGATGTCGTTCATGTCGTTAAGGAAACCCGTGAAGAGGCCCTGCGTGCATCCCGCCGCGTTGCAGCTTTTCCAGAAGCTGGCGGAGTTTAAGCCGGGCTTTGGGGAAGAGGGAGGCGCCAAAGCAGGGGAGGCGCAGGACGCGAGGGGGAGACCGGCGGTGTCGGGTGGCGTCGCGTCAACGGCAACGCGGCGAGGAGGGGAGGGGCGCCCAGCGGAGCTCAGATCGGGACTGGACCCTGAAAAGTTATTTTAATAAATAACATATGAATGGCTAACATGTTGGTTCTCTCTGTAAAGCTTAGCAGAGTATGAGCATAATACATTTTATATGCAGGTGTTTACAAACGTGTGTACCGTTTTGGGTGAATATCGACTAGCAATCATGCACAGTGTCCGAATGTACCGTTCTTCATACAAACGATGGCTCAGCGGAGAACGATGCCCCATTCGGACCAGGACTCATTTCTCTTGGGAAATTACTTTTTTAACCGTTCTGGATGTATCTTGATAACTTCAAGATAATAATAATAATAAACTGTAGTTTGTAAATATTATCAGAGAGCTCATTCTCCTGCAATTTAAATACCACCCAGAGCAACATGCATGCAACTGCATTTTAAAGTTAATATATTGGCTTAAAGCTGGTGAACATGCAGTGGTAATTAAAATCTCTCCTTCACTGAAGTTTTTTTTGATGCCAAATATTTATCCGGTTGGCATTTCTTCCAGCGTTACTGGCCAACCCCGGGCAAAAAGAGGGCTGTGGAGTCCACCACAGGAGCCAGGAACATTTTATCTTTATCAAGATGAGTTAATTATTCATTCATTCAATTTTTCTTGAGATAAAGCCTTTTCCTCATGTTCACGAGTTAATGCATGTAGATTATTGAGAAAAACACATTTTCTGCCAATTCCTCCAGAAATGTAGTGATTCTAGTTGGATAAAGAAAACAAGCTGCTGCCTGTGAAGAGCAGCGTATTCAGCAGCTCGGATTCACTCATTTCTGATTGTCACCAAAGTAAAAGTAATAGGAGGAAAATCTACACGCAAAATCTACAACCACCATCACATCTCATGTCTTGTTTCTGGCTATAATCAAATACTAAATCGAAAAATTGTAACGTCCCAATTTCCTAACCCAGGAGAGTTGATCTCATCCTCCCGGGACAAACAAACAGTAAAGTAGGCGACTGTACCTTCGCTTGATAGCCGCGCCGGCTCCTCCTCGCTGCCTAACAAAATCACGCTGGGGTACAGAGTCGGCACGGAGCGACTCGAGGGCGAAGCAGGAAGCAGCAGACTCTCCGACTCAGCGTCCTGACAGGAAGCAGACACATTTCCTGCCAGTTGAGTTACATATAAAAGTCCAGACTCACAGGAAGATCAATCGAGATCAGCTTCAGTAATCTTTGGGGATTGAGGATGTCAGACTAGAGCCCGACCCGAGTCATGAATGAGTTAATGAAGGCGGCGTTAGTTATGTTCCAACTCACTGAAAGGAGGATCGTGTCCTCGTCATCTTTGGGCCCAGCCATGGTCCTGTTCACCGCGGGGGGGCCTACAGAAGACAGCAGGAGTATTTGTATGGGGGCCACATATTGTATGTACACAGAGTTTGGTGTAACGGCCCGCCGCACCTGAAGTGGAAGCATCGGGACTCTCGTCGCCATTTCTGTGTGTGGACGAAAAACAAGTGCTCTTATTTTAATGTGACCAGCAACACGAAAAGAGAAACCCAACATGTAAATGCATCAAACACAAATTAAGTATTTTTTAACCATAAACAGTGGCTTTACTTTGGCATTGAATGGGACTGGATGTTAATGTAACCTAAATCACTGCAACCACGAGAACTATGAGATAAATGTAAAAAAGGCACAGGCATAAACAGGCACTGCCACATTAATATGAGGGCACAAATCCAAATAAATTCTAAAAAACAGCAAATGGCCCTTGTTTAACATAAATTATGTTAACAATTAAATTGATAAGTGACGGAACTAGTGGTTTCATCACTAGTCAGTTGTATCACAATGTTTGTGATATTTGTGTTTCTAAAGTCTACAGTAACTCAGTTTTTTTTAAACTGTAAAATGCATTCCATGTCTAATTTCAGGCCATCACATAAGCTTGTTCTCACCCGATCAACTGACGCGCAGTCGGAAAAGTGGGAGGAGCAATGAATGAAAGAGAAGAACAAGTTATTTTCAGATAATTGAACATGTTGATTAGTGATGAAGTTACAGATGAACAAACATTGCACTCACCTCGGCCTCGAATGAGTCCGTCTCTATGGGGCCAAATGACGCCATGTCCTTATCGGGCTCATCTGCAGCAGAGGAGAACGGAACAGATCTGGCACCCGCTTTGAAACCAGGGAATTAAATAAGTCACACGTTCTCATGTCTGGAGGGGCCTTCACCTGAATTTGAAGAATCATCCGTTAAGACCTTCGGCGTACGTTTGGACGGAATCCCCTCCTGTCTGTGAGGCGGGACGCAGGACGGCCATTAGAACTGCTCAATAAACGCTTTATAGGAAGCGGAGCATCCAGGGGAAGCTTTAAGCAGCAGCAGAGAAGTCATAGGAGGGAAAAAGACGTTGCGGTACAATGTGGCACAGTTTGCAAGTTATAAGTTATGAAGTTGCAAACGGAAGGTATAAAAAAGGCCAAAGGGCAATGGACCAAGTTGTAACAGTCAAGCATGCAAAGTATCTCACACTTACTTGTCTGGGAAACTCAACCGTCTCTGTATAAAAAGCAAAAGGATTCCAATCACTGAGTCATCCTGAAAAGCTTTATTTTAGGTGACTATGGACGATCTTCGTACCTTGGAGTTTGAAGGCCTCACAGTTACAGTAGATATTCCCATCAATCCAACCTTAGATGGTCCCGCCTCGCTCTGATTAATGGTTTTAATCACGGTTTGTGACCCGGTGACGGAGGAGGGACGTCCGTTCACAGAGCTTTTGTTATCTGGAACATGAAACAATTCAACAATTCAACACATGGTTGTTAAAAACTGAAAAGGTGTTTGGCGGAGGAAGGGCACCTACTTTGAGTTGGTTCACTGTGTTTGGAGCAGTACAGCCTGACGATATTTTTGCCAAAAGGGAAAACATTAATTCAAAAACTGCACTACAGGCCGTCTGAAAAGAAAAAAGTACATATTCAGCTGTGTTGGACTCACACATATTTCCCCTTGTCTGCATCTTCCACAACGTTGGCTTTGTGTTGCACAGCACACGGGTAGTGGTAGGACTTCTTGCAGCGTCTGACCTCACACCCAGCAGTGGCCCCCCTCAGCTGACATCTGGAACACATCTAACGCAAACATCAAATGAAATACACAATAAATACATCTGTAAACCTACAACCTAGATCAGGGGTCTTCAACGTTTTTCAGGCCAAGGTCCCCCAAACGGGACCCCTATTCTACGGAGTTTGGTCTGCCAGCTTTTATTTTTGAGCGTTGCGCTCTTTAGACGTGAGCATGAACGCGATCTGAATGGCTGGTGATGTCGTATCAGCTTGAGAGCTGCTGAGTGTAGCTGAATGTGTGTGTTGCAGACTGAGAAGAAAATGTCTTCTCCATCAATTTATCTGTTTGCTACAATATGTTGGATTCATGGTAATTTGTAAAGACAATAAATACAATTGATGACAAAAAAATTGGTTGAATTTTATTTTATTAAAAAGAAAAAGATTGTCTTGACCAAAATGTTCGCGAACACCCTGAAGAACCCACGCGGACGCCCTAAGGGTCGCGGACCCCCTGTTGAAGACCTCTGACCTAGATAAATAACTTATAATTACATCGAACTATCAACTCTTCCATCAAACAGGGCGCCGAGCAGCATCGCTGTGCACGCGGAGGAATGAAACACATCCCATCATGCGCTTTTCCTCCAGGTTGCCCTGGAAACCGCTGGCATCCGGCAGACACGCGCCCCATCGCGATGACTCTTATTGTGGACAAACACGTCTATAAATGTGCAAGTAGTATCAAGAAGCTTCACCAGTTTGCTGCCTCGTTTCACCTCCGCCAGCACGTCGCCCACAGAGAAACCGAACAGATCGTCGAACTGCGGAGAAGAACTGCAGACGAGGCCCGAGGAAAATAACTGAAATGAACCAAAAACAGAAACGCGAGTGAGGACAAACAGCCTTTCATTTCCGATTCCGCTGAAAGGTTTGCAGGTACGAGAACAGCTCGCGGGTGTTTCTCGCTGGAAGGACACGATGTGTATATTTACCAGACAGTTCTGGTGAGCCGTGACTTCGTCTTTGGTCGATAAAGCCCCGGTTACTTTCGTCTCTTCGCACTTCTGACAAAGTACACACTCCACTTTGCTTCTGTTGTCCATTTCTTTCTTTTTGTGCAAGATGAAGTACATAATGTTCAAGCGAGGCTGCAGCGCAGATGGGGAACTTCGTACTGTTGGTTTCACCGCCCTTTGCTTGGCGGTTGCCAGGTTGCATGTGTAAAATCCCCCGAACTCCTTAAGCTCTCTGAGCGAAGCTATTTGTGGTTATTGTGTTTACGGTATATTTTCCCTCGAGGTAATTGAGAAAGTAGCCAGGTTCAATACTACGGTTATTACTTAGTTTCACAGACACCAGAATTAAAATGCATATTAGACGCGCATATAAATGGGTACGGATTAACGAACCTGGCAATCTGATCGGGCAGTTTCAGTTTCATTTCTCATGTTTGTGATATCCGGACCAACGTAGACTGAAGCATTAGTAGTTTACTTTAGTCATAAAGTTGGTTAGCGTTAGTTGCTGTTATACCTCTTTCAATCAGATATGAGTCTATTTACATTTATTTGCACGTAAACCGTGTTACATTTAGTGTGGAGATGTTCAACACAGGCAGTTGTCCACCAGGTAGCGGCATAGAGTCAAAAGGTGGCGCCCCAAAGCGCGTGGCTGTAATACCTCTCTCGCCACCAGGAGGCGGCATTGTCCCCTCTCCGCCCACGCGACTCCGTCCTTCGTTTGCAGTGGGACGAGGTGGCGTCCTGTGAAGAGACTGCAGGGAGCTTCGAGGGATTCATGTTTTTGTTGTCCAGGTATTCGTCAGTTTTGCTGCCAGGCTTTGACCTCATCCTCCTATAAGCTTTTCTTCGTCACGGCCTCGCTTTTCTTGGGAGTTTTGTTCTTAAATCAGTGTTTTTGAGAAACCATTAAATAAAAATAGTCAATTAATTAATCAACTATGTATTGTAAATACAGCCTTCAAATAGATGTTGTGCAGAACAAAGTATAATATTTCCCTCTGAAGTTTAGTGGCATTGAATTAGAAAGTGACATGTACAAATACGTCCCATCTTAACATGTACTCAATACAATCCCTGAGTGATTAATTTAGTCACATTCCACCAGTGCAAAACAAAAAGAGTTCCTCTCAGTGCCAGCAGACACAAAGCTTCTATCTATAGGCTTCACAGAAAAAGACAGACTGAATTGAAGTTGTTTATGTAAAAAACAAAAGAAAAGTCAAGTGACGGCACCACGCATAATGTACAATATAGCATCTCAGACATTTCATGACAAACTGATATTAATGGACAATATCTACATTCAGAACATAATCCTCCACAGGGAATAAGTTAGCGCCATACAGTGATGGAGAAACATTTTTAAACTGTAGCGAACATGAAAACTCACAGAGTTATACTACGAGGCCCTCGGAGACCCCAAAACACAAACCTCGTACACAACGTCTGGGGAAGCTGGTGGCAGAACTGCTTTCTAATGACAACAGACGTGAGAAGACAGGGAGAAAATAAGTACAAAAACAGTGAGTAAATATACATGACGGCTTTTGTTTCTTACAAATAAATAAGCTTGTAAAGGGAAAAGCAGAGGAAGGCTCTCAGAAAACATTCATCGGAGCGAAACAGGCTGTACATGTTCATCCCCGTCCCGTTTCAGGGACAGCGCCGGCAGCGTTAAGAACCTCCTGCTTGGGTAGATTAGTGGCGGTGAGCAGAGAGACAGCAGACATCCCCAGATCATCACTAACCTTCTGCACTTTTCATGTGAACATAAGTAGATGCATTAACGAAGATCAGTCCCGCTGGCCCATCCATACATCTATTACATATTAAACACTGATCCACTGTTCTCCTTTAAAAAAAAAAGAACGTACAGAGAAGTGTATGATTAGAGGAAGTTCACTTCACAATGCAGTGGAATGACATTCTGTGATGTATTTATCCGACCAGCATTCTGGATTGTCACCGCACAATTGCACGACAATCAAGTCTATAACATGTGACGAATCGGCTTATTAAATCTGTGCGTTTACATGATTTGAAAAATGAAAAAAAAAAATACTATGAAAACCTGACAAAATTCTCAAGAGTACCGACGTTGGCAATAGCACAGATAGCAACATGATGCTAGCATTAATGAGGGCAGTTTGGTGATGTCGGAAATGATGAGGAGTCCAGGGTTTGATGTGGAGGAGGCCGGTTAGGTCTCACTGCAGCTGGACGATGTGCTGAGGTTTCCAGAGCCACTGCCTTCTGGTATAACACACACACACAGGTCACATGTAGTGCTCTTGCTTAACAAATACCTACTTTCCGGTTCCACTCTCTTTGGGCCGGTTGGTTTCAGTACCTGAGCTGGTGAGTGACTGGCAGGACTTGGACTTTCCGATGAGCGTGATGAGATTGGCGGCTGCGATCAAGCCCTCCTTGGAGCTGCTCAGGTTACGTACAAACCTGCATGGAGGTAGACAAACGCAGACAAACCTTCAGAGTACTACAAGGCAACATTGCGTTCCTTCCTCATAGGCAGCGGTGTGGCTATATTCTCACCAGTGACCGTCGTCCTCCTCTTTGACCAGCCGCACGACGTCGCCGCTCTTTACCGAGAGCTCTTGAGCGTCTGCATTCTCGTAGTCGCCCGTCACCGTATATTTGCCGGCACACTGTTCAAAGTTGAGATTAGGAGAAAAAAAAAAGTTGCGTTGAGATGTATGATAGTTTTGTGCTACGATGGACAACTATGGATAACCAATCAACAGGATCCAACTATGAAGCTGCACTTATGAATATAGTCCAAGTCAGCAAACAGCTGGTGAACATAGGGGAGCATTTACCAGCTGAACAGACAGATGTTTTCCTCTGGAGTTAATGGAAGAGAAACATGACAAATATCATATGGCGCATTCTGGCCACATTTGTCTCTTGATAAACGTCTCTTGTTAAAAGTCAACCTGTGTGTGTTTAAATAGGCGGCACGCACGCACGCACACGCACACACACACTATACGAGGGCCCCAACCCACCATAATGCAAAAGAGACATAATTAATATTAAACAGAACACCTTGTTTACCGTGCAACAACATGTTAACAAGGGCTCATTGCTTTATTTATAAGTGAGTTTAAAATTGACCTTTACGATGCAGGAATAATCTACAGTGGCTTGAAATGTGTCCCATTGCCTCATTGTTCTTTCAGGGTGAGTCTGCTGCTTTTAGTGGTGCACACCGACGAGGAGGGGTCATTCATAAAACAAATGGATTATTATGACCTAATCATTTTACTAATGCAGCTGCTAATTATTACTTGTTTAGTGACGTACTGCAAATATATCACATCTAAATCCGGTGTACAGGCAGGTTGACACGTCGCCGTCTTACAGGGTGACTCACCAGCTTCTTCCCGCCGTCGTCCTCTGGGTCAGAATTAAGAGGCTCATCGGCGCTGGAATATCCTTCATGCTCCTCTGAGGCATCCAGCGACAGGGAGGTCTTGTTCCAGCCTGAAGAGGAGGGAGACACAGGTGTTTAGTTTACAACATAAATCTTCAGCCGCTGTCAAACATGTGCGTGACCCGTAGTGAGAGATCTACAAGTGTGAAAAAGTGCGCAAGAACCACAAAAAGATCTTTGAACAGAGAATCCCAGGAATCCCATCAAGACACAATGATCTCCTCAACTGTAAACACAAAGCTCTTAAGAGCAGGGAGACGGGCATGCACGTCAATGTTTTCAACCCCGACTCGAACAAAGAAAAAGTGGCAGGCAGGAATTCCTCCATAGTGTGTTTTTCACCAAGCCTGAAAGAAACGTGGAGAAGTGGAACCGCATAGCAACAACCGAGGAAGAGAGTCCTTAAAGGGTTTATAGGAGTGAAGGAGTGGGTCCAACACAGTGTACCTCTCCACTTTGTCTGTAAGAGACTAGGAGTGCTGAACCACCTGGCCCTGTTCAGGTGGGGGGGGGCAGGACCTGCATCTGATGGACAGGAGGCGATAGAAACACAGCTAGTCACTCGCCCTGCAGCGGCTGCAGCGAACAAAACTCATGTTTGGGGACCGACCTTTGAAGCCAAACGGCGTGGGGTCGCTCTGCCGCTTCGTCTTGTGATCGGGACTCGTGGGAGATCCTGCCGCCAAGAAAAAAAGAGGAGGGACAGGCGTGGTTGTTTAAGGCATAGAAGTCACAACCAAAATGGCACGTTTTGATGAGAAAGGCTCAAAGGTCATGTGGTTAACAGCAGAGTTTCATCTCTGGGTACAAGGACACTGACTAAACTAACATATGGACCAGAAAAGGATGAGGAAAGACGACTAATACACAGGTAGACAATTCTGATAAAAAGAAACCTGCCGAACGCAGATCAATGTTGTGATGCTTTTTGAATGGAGGGAGCTACCGAAAGAACATAATTTTAGTACGTTACAGTAAGAAAAGTGCAGGTGTAAATAATAAAATACATTCAGTTTAAGGGCCCTTGCTGGCGAACTGTCACAACACACTGAGGCACTTGGATAAGTATTAAATAAAACCAGCCATTGTTAACAGTTTTAGTTACAACTGTGCTTTTCCTACTATTACAAGCCAAAGTTGGAAAAAGGGTGTTGTGCAGGATTAAACGAACCCACGTTCTAGAGTTGTGTGATACCTGATGAGAGGAGGATCATCATGGATGGTAATGTTAAACTTTTATCATCAGTAGTGGAGGACTCTGTGGAGGGAAGCATGCAGTATTTGACCTACTGAGCAAACGTTCTTGGAAGTACATTACAGATTTATTTAGTATATTTTTATTTTGTCCCTCAGAGACTTCGGACAACCTACTTGTTTAAGTTAAATGAGAAGTTTGATACAGTTCACGTGTCTGTGACGTGAACTTCTCTTCTAACTCTCGGAAAGGAAGCAAATGAGTCTAAATGTCTATTCTCGAGTGACTCGACAATAACGATGATGACGATGTGATATACTGGGCATGAAAGTGACAGAATGGCCTGAAGTTACCTTTCTGGGCTTTGAGGTTACTGAAGCCCTGTAAAGTAAAACGCTTTTTAGCCACAGCAGCTCTGTCTGAGGGGGGGCTTGTCACAGCCTCGTCTGACCCAGAGAAGAAGATGGGACAAAAAAAGGGGGAGGGAAGAGGGTGAGTTAAGATTATATAGAGGAAGACAAGTGGGAACGTGTTATATGATTCCGTGGAAAAGACAGAAGAGAAGACATGGGTTAATCACTAAAGAGATATACTGTAAGTGCAGATTGTTACTTACAAAAAGTCTGTTCGCTCTCCTCACCTTTTCCAGTGGACTTCGGGTAAAGAACAGGAAATCGGCATCAAGGCTGCAGGGCTCAGCTTTCTTCTCCTCTCCCCTCTTAAAGCTCTTCTGACCAGACTTGAACGGACTGCAAGAAGACAAAGAGCAGCATGAGCTTCAACAGCCTGATCATCCGCCGAACAACATTAAAAGTCATTAATCAAACTCTACATCTAAACTGTGATAGGGAATGAAATGAGGTGGGAAGTGCTGACTTGCCTGAGACTTACTGGTCCACTGGACACAGGAGGGAACTGGAACACCTGATCAGGTGCCTTCTGCTGACTGGCTTTAAAACAAAGAGGGAGAACAATCATTTTGCAGATTTCACTTCTATTGGCAATGCTGATTATAATATTGCTTCAGTTTCTGGTTGAACGTGAACATCAGTGTGAACACAAGTTCAATAAATACTTTTTTCTCTCTCTCTCTACCTCTGCAGGCTTCCAGCTGGGTGGTCAGAACCTTCCTGATCTCGTTCACCCAGGTGGTTTTTACTTCAGCTGTTGGCGCCTGAAAACAGGAAGATTAACAAATATTTTGTTAATATTAAGTTCATGGTGCCGATTAATGCCTACAACGGTTACCTGGAGGTAGACAGCTATATAAATGCCTATTGTTCAAACGCAGAGAATTGCTCTTTAAGGATAAGCTCTGTTGTTATTTTCTATTTTTCTAATTGTCAACAGATTACGGAAAACGTTAAAGACTTAATGAACTGAAATGTGTTCTCTCTAAAAACCTTCCCACGTGCATTTATTTTTCAAAACGCCCCAATCATTTCCTAAAGACAGCAGGGCAATAAAAATGAACGTTTGTTATAGTAGCCTTTACTGAAACACAACACATTTTGATAAGTGCAAGTGGGAGTTGAATGTAGATGAGCGGTTAACACCATCAGGATTTAATGTACCTGAACAATGTAGACCTCTTCTCTGGAGTTGCACCAGATTTCAAACTTCTTGTTGTCTCCCTTTGCGTTCTCCGTTATGCCAACAGCACTCATCTATGGAAAACGACGGCCACGGCAAAACGTAAAACATGTCATGAATTCAAATAGATGGCAGCTCAAGAGGCAAATGCAGCAAATTGTTTGGAAGCGTGCTCACATTCAGAGATTGTTTGAAGCTGTACGAGGGAGCTTTCTCGTAGCCTTCGCCGTTCTCCTCCCTCCTCTTGCAGAAGAGCAGGGTCTTTTCATGGAGGAAGAGGTGCCTCTGCATGGGCTTGAAACGGGCCAGATCCTTGACCTTGGCATGACCCTTCTTGTGCTCGGTCCACACGCTGAATGACCCTTGCATCAGCAGCTTACCCAGCTCGCTCATATTACCCTGGGGAAAGAAAGAGTTAAAGATGCTAAAAAAGGCAAAGCCAATTGGTCGCATGCCGCTTCTGTTCTAAGATGCTCTGTAGAGGCCATAATGTGATATTACAACAACTCTGTTTCATAACACGTCTCTTTTCTGTCTAGTCTCTGTTATGTGTCGGTGATCATCTGGAGAGTCTGTATTCAGATCGGCAGGGAGCCAATAGATGTGCTCACTTGATTTAAGGGGCATGTATTTGTTGTAGAGTGCTTGGTTTTGCTTTATAATGAATAAAAATAATATATACACATCATTTCTTTATTGAGTTGGATCTGATTGTACTTTGTTTTGCTTTTTTTTTTTTAATGCAATGGTATTGCCTCATTATTATTGAACTCGTCCATCACGTAGACAAGAACCAAGGAACACAGATCATTGTGGCTTTTGCACAATATCATATAACGCTGTGCTCAGCACGCCTCTATCTGCCATTTTATGCCTAACACACACACATACATACATATATATATATACAGCGGTTATTCTCTGATCGATAAGCCTGTGTACTTTTTAATGTTTCACCTCATATCCTGTAATGGCGATGAGGTGCATTGAGTCATTGACGGCCTTGAGGATGCCCAGGATGGAGGTCAGTGCATCCTGCAGGTCATCCGCCCCCTCACAGCTCTTGCTGTACTTCAGCATTTCCTGTGGTCAGAAACAACAACAAACATCTCAGCCGTACCGTACAAAGTCCAGAAATCCCACTGAAAAGACAATCGGTACCCTCGTACCTTCAGTAGCAGCTGGTATTTGGTAATCCTCTGAACGGGCTTCAGGAGGTAAGAATCTAAGCCGAGTTTATGCTCCAGCTTTTTCTGACACTCCTGATTGCAGAAGGGAAACAAAAGTGTCAAACGAAAGAAACAACACAAGACAAAACTTGATGGTGCTCACGGTGTTCACCTGGAAGAAGGCACAGTCTGAGCACTGCCTCCAAAGGCTTTCAGAGCGAGGCTTGTTGTGGCAGTACTTCTCATAAATCTGCAGGTCTGTCATCTAAAAACAATCCGTATATTCAAGAAACATCTTTATCAGCACAGCGGGATTCACATCTCTGGGCTAAAGTTCACTCACCCTCTCTAGAAAACACCTTCCAATCAACTCTGGGCAGTCGGTGTACTGCTCCAACTCCCTCAGAAACGTCCTAGATGCAAAAATAAATCATGTTGTGGATGAAAATGCAAAGATGACGAATGCAAAAACAAGAAGAAGAGATATTTGAATAAAACGTTGATTTGCTTTGATGGCTGATGTCAGTTAATGGTGCTCTGTCACCTCTCATGGAAGTGGTAGATCTCTAACATGTTGCCAAACAGAACCTCCTTCTTGTTCTGCAGAGGAGCGGGGATGAGGTGAGCCATGGCCGCATTATCCATCTCCGAGGCATATCCCTGTAAAACACAAAACAACTTGAAATCCTAGACACCAGTTAAGGACAGAGAAGAATAAACATGTCGGAGTGAATACACACCTGTAGCACACAGAGCAGCTCTTCCACGTAGGCTCTCTCAGTTTCCAACAGCTCGTTCATAACATGCCTGCAGGCGGGGAGAGATCAGAGAGTGAGATGGATAGAAAGGCAGATGCACGGTACTGCAGATAATGAGATAACCGTTTCCACACAGTCCATCTGCGGTGTCATTTGATTAAAGATTAATGAGCACCTCCTGAGCACTGCCAGGTTCTCCTCCTCCTCTGAAAGAGACGCATGTCGGCTGTTATTGTCTCCATTCTGCAGTTGTCCGTTTCCCTGGGGGGGAAAAAAAAACGATACATCGGGTCACCGTGATCAGTGGACAGACAACACAAACAAAGAGACACAAACAGAATCAGGACCAAGGCTGCACTCACCTTCTCACAGCTGTTCCCAGAGTCTGCCTCTGAGCACTTTCTCTCCTGCTGGGCTATGTGTGCTGTGGAAGACGAAGATGAAATGTAGAGACGTAAATAAATATTAATCATTCATCCACTGACAGTGACAAGAGGCTCTGAATTGTGTGAACTAAACGGTCCATGTGTGGATGAGTGGCGACGGACCAGGCGAGCTGAGGGGGGATTTGATGAAGGCTTCAGGTCTGGGGGCTACCGGCTGCACCGGCCTGGTCTGTTTGGCTGCAAGCTTCTTCAGGCTGACCCTCCTCTTGTCGAACATCTCCTGCATAGACACCTGCTTCTGGAAAACCTTTTCCACTTGGTCCTGAGGCACAGAGAGTTATCAAAGGAGGATGACTTAAACATGCGCTGCATTTTTGAGTTGAGCGGTTTCTCTCAGTATGATCTAAATGTGTTCAGCCCTCCCACACTTCCAGCATAAATATGGTTTAGAGGGTTTCTAATGATTTGATTTTACCCAATAACTGAGAAAAATAACTCAGTGCATGCAATTATTATTTGTTGTTTGTTCGCCTTACTCTGAACTGCTGGTTGAGCACGGTCTCGTATTCCCTCCAGATGGTACTGAGTTCTGACAGCTGGTTCTGCTCTGCATTATCCAGGTGGTGCTCCAGCTCCTTCAGGGCCAACTCTGCCCCCTCATGTGATTGACACTTGTCTACTGGCTGAGACGCCAGCAGGTATATACCATCATCAACCCATTTAGAAGCCTGAGGACAGCAGAGGAGGAAGAATCAGTAAATGAACAACAATCGAGAAAGCAAGTCAGCTACACTGGTGTGTTGTGGGTGATCTTACTCTCTCCAAACAGTGGTGCAGCTCCATGGCTTTGAGGAGATGGTCTTTCCTGGTCCTCAGGTTGCTGCTCACATTCTCACTGACGGCTCTAAGCTCCATGCATTTAGGCTGAACGGAGTCCTCGGCATAGTGGGAGTTGTGGATCATGTCATCGCCATCACAGGCCAACGACGAGGCTCTACCCAGCACCTCCTGTGGACCAGTGTGGAGTCATACTTAGTTATGTCTCAGTAGTTTTTCCTTTTCTAAATGACCTGGATGAGCCTGCATGCATGGACTGCATGGGTTAAAAGAATATTTCATACCATTCTCCAATACTGGCTGCAATTGTTTTTTAAGCCATTATCTATTGACATAAGTTGTGATACTTCTTAAAGGCACAGTCCAATAACAAACAAAAAGTGGCCAAATATGCAACTGTGACCTCTGAAAGGCCCTGCAAAATGTGATGCCATTTTCCCTCCAGGTGGCACTATACAGCAGCATGACACATATGATGTTGTGGTTATGGGACTCTTTTGCAAAATGTATTTTTCTATAAAGATTTAAAAATCCCCCAAATCATGAACACCATTGACCAATCAGCATGATTGTAATGTACATTTCGAAACACATGTTCAAGATGTTGATCCAGATTAGGATGGACTTTAAAATGATTATTTATATCTACTTTAAAAAAAGAATACATTTAGATTGTGCAGGTGGCAGAGCAATAAATCAAGGCCTATAAATAAAGAATCACATTATTTTGTAACACTGACCGGCTCACTGAAGGCATTATAGAATATATTCTTCATCTATTCATGGCATGGCTACACAAAGCCTTTAGCCTTATTTGTGTGGGATTGGGTGTTACTCACACAAACTCTCTCCTCATAGGTGGAGAGTTCGCTGAAGATATGGTCCGCGTGGGCTGGGCTGATCCCCACCTCAGAGAAGGTTGCAAGTTTCTCAGAAACCTGATCCAGCAGAGCCCTCACCTGCAGCAGAAACACCACAGTTAAGTTACAATAGGGATCATGTGGTCTGTACATGCATTGTCTGGACAGTTCGGACAGAGCTAACAGGCTCACCTCTCTGTAGTTGTGCTCGAAGTGGCGCAGTTGGAGACACTGCTGCAGTTTGGTTTGATGCCTCACCCAAAACTCATCAAAAGCCCTTTCAGTCTCGTCTAGCTGGGACAACAGTCTGTAAGATGGGCAAAGTAATGTGGGGGCGTGGTGGGGTGGATTATTAAAATAAATCAGGACGTAGTGTAGACCCAAGCAGTAAGTGGAGAAACCAAAGAAGCAGAAAAAGCAGTGGGGATTCTGATGCTGGTATTTGGACGTGTGTGTGTGTGTGTGTGTTATGCAGAGCTAATGCCCGTTGACATGGGATTCAATGCATTCAGTGTACCTAAAATACTGCACTGACCGACCTCAAATCTGACCTCATTGCTCTGACAACTATACGGAGCAGTATAGTTGACCGCTATGAACAGATTAGCAGTTGATTAGCATCAACAAAAAATTAATAAATACAACTAGAGTAAATTAAAAGGCTGAAATCAGATGTGTAACAATCAAAAGATAGATATATTTTAGTCCAACTATTTTTAATGTAACAAAAGAAAAATAATTAACAATGTAAAGCTCTAAGCTGAAAAGAGTATTATCTTTTCACATGGTTTTAATCATTCACAAAGTAATAGATGCCGACGTATAATGGTTGGACGGTAGAAAGGTCCAAACCAAATGTGTCAAAGATCAAAAACAGTTCCACTTTCATCTTTCTGGTGCCTTCATGTTAATACCGATGTTGACTTCCTATCAGTAGCCAACCTGCAGCCTCATCAGCTCAGGTGGTTCTTACCTCTGCACAGTGGCCAGATTCTCAAGCTCGTCCTGGTTCATGTTGTGATCGGGGTCTCGCACCACCGGCTCATTGATGCTCTCCAGCAGCCTGCTGCCCTGATTCAGAGCAACCAGCAGGTCCTCCTACACACACGCACAGACAGAAAGAGTGAATCAATGCACAGCTGATATTCACACCAAATACACTGTGTACACATAAATAATCCATATGTGTCAGCGGTGTTACCTTCATTTTGTCTTTCTTGTTGGTGTGTGTGCTCAGCAGGACGCTTGTGGCCTGGATGTCGTTGGGGAGTTCCGTTTCAGCCAGCACAGTCCCAAACGACTGCAGGATCTGCGCTGTTTTCTTTACCATCAATGCGAAGCCTTCAATAGCCTGAAGCACGCAAGACACAACAAAGACTGTTGGCATGCAACTTGACCAATAGAGTATTAAACTTAAGACCAATTCTTTATGTCTTGATTGTCTCTGGCTTTTACATGCACATATTTCCCTGAATGTGTTCATACAGCTCCCTCATACAGTCGCTTGTTACGTGTGGCAGTGTGCATGCTGACCACTAAGGTGGCGTGTACAGTGTACATACAGTGCGGTGAGAGATCCACTTCTCATGGCAGTACTCCTGAGTTCCTCCGAGTTCCTTGGTCAGTTGGGAGTGGTCGATGTAGGCATGGAGCTCAGTTATTGAGCTCAGCATGATCACCTGAGACAGAAACAGCCATTACACACACACACCACACAGAATTTTTATGGTCGTTCTTTAATAAGTTGGTTTCTTCAATGGTAAGAGTGACAGTACGCACCGGCACCTTCATCTTGAACTCATCCTTGTTAAACTTGAAGAGTATGTCGGAGAGAGTCCGCTGCAGGAGGGTGGTGGGCCTCAGGACCAGGACCAGCTGGAGGTTCCCTGGGAAGGAGCCCTGAAAAGAGTCCGAAATGAGTCCGTTATACACGTCAGTAGGATGGGTTCTTTTCTTTCTTCCGACAGCCTGCACTTCCTTTATATTCCCTGCCTTCGTATCCCAGGTGGAAAGCCTCGCTCAAACACATTACAGCATGTTGGTGGAGTGTGTAGCGTACAGGAGCAGGGAAAAGACGTGGGGGATGTCGGGATCGTCCTCTGGCAGCAGGGCCATTAATCTTCACCTCCCTGGAATGCTGGTGCGTGAATAATGAGGCAGTCACCACCAACTCGTGCAGTACATGTGTGCAGGCACACAGGGCTGTCTTTACCCAGCTGGCATCGGTGATACTTAATAATTTGGAGTGATGCACAAAAAAATGCCCTTTCCTGGCTTGCAAACACACTTTGCATAAAGTGAAGATACACTAAGCAAAAAGAAAAAATGTTTGCTAGATCCTTTTGGAAACATTCTCCTCATATTTATCATTCTATGCTAACACGCAGTTCAGCTCAGCCAATAAAATGCTATTAACTGTCAGAATGACCAAGTAAGCACTGCTGCGCCAGCAGCTGGATGATGGTTGAGGGTGGACACTGATCTCCCCTCCTGAGGCCATACCATTCTTAATGCTACTTTAATTAGCTAATGACCTAAACGGCTGCTCCGCCTGAATGGCTGCCCTTCCCGAGTGAGTTGGGGAATGCTGCTCTAGGCAGAAATGACAATGAAACAACCCTTAATAAGAACCACTTGAGATACGCTCCGTTAATGAAATTAATAAATCAATTCAGTGGTTGTCCTTGGTGACCTGCCAAAACAAGGAGGAGCTCTGTGAAAATGGTCCCTCGCCATCTGGAGAAATGGTGGGACGTACTGCTGTTTTTACACTGTGGTAGTAGTGGGTGCTACGATACTAGAAAGACCTATTCAGCGTATTTATGGTTAAAAATAACCAGATCAAAAACTGACCTTCGTTGAGACAAAGTCTGATGTGTCCCGTGCCTCTGTGGCATGTAGCGCTGTTCTAATTATATTACAATAAACATGGGCACTGGAGTTTCCTTTTGACTCTTAAAAGAATCCAGCAACATGGATCCTCACTAGAACACAGAATTTGCTTCGGCCAACCGGAGGCGGGGGGGGGGGGCGTATTCAGTGTGCTGGGGCTCGATGGTCCACAGGGGAATATTTGCGCTGGTGTCCGTTTGGCACGACCGTGCGTGGTGAAAACACTGACTACATAGAATATCTCCAGACTTAACCTTTAAATGCAAATTGTCAATGCAACCATGCAGCTCAGAGATGTGGTCTCTGGCATGGTCTACTTGTTCTTTGTCAATTGTTGGCTATGAGATGCGTGCGTGCATGCGTGCGTGCGTGCGCGCACATACACACACACAAAGCCTGAAAGAAGAGCCAGATACATGACGAGAGAGGAGGGCTTCCTTCAGGGACTGACAGCAACTCTACAGACTTAATTAGGAGCCGTCTATGAACACACTTTCTGTCAGTCATCAGATCAAACTCAGCCATGCACGGCGACCGGCAGCTTTTGCCTCAAACACACTGACCCACATTCACACAAGCACATGTGCAAAAGTGTGCGCATATAAAAAGGCACAGAAAAAGACAAAGGGAATCCCTCGGCAGCATCCACATTCAATAGCCCCTCACAGACAAACACACCCTTGTAACATGTACACACTGACTCATTAACCTCGCTGTGTGAATACATCACACGTTGTGCTGTGACTACAATACGATTTAGCCCATGAACCAGACTCCAACACAAACACACACAGCAGCTGCGGCGGCTTGAAAAGGTGTCCGTTTTCATCATCATCTACTTAGCAGCTGAATCTCCCCAAGCAGGACATTCGTGCAGGGATGACTGAATCCCCCATAGTACCAGCCTGTAAAAGTGATGATGATTTCATTTTAAATGAGACACATGGACTCGCGTGTCTCTTGAGACCATGCTTGGTGATATTCATCTCATTCTCTTTGACATTACATTATTTTCCTACATCTCTCCCTCGGTCGAGTTATTATTTTGCCCCAATCGGCGTTAATGCCGAACCTTTGGAGATCTGTCGGAGCCAAACTCTCCAGTTTCCTGTATATTAACAGCAATGACCATTTCTGTGCTACACCTGCAGGCAATAGTTGCTGGTTATGTTGAGCTGAATGAAACTCACATTAGAGATAGACATAAATATCACGGTCGTTCACTTCTTATTGTTTTAGCCCCAAAAAAAAGGAATTTGCAGATTGTGTGATTATGAAAGTCCGTCTCCCCCACACGGACACATTTTATGGAGAGTTGCCAGGCATTCACCTCCATTCACAAAACATTTAGCACAGAACAACTGATAAGAAGAACTAAAGTGAGCTGATTAAAGCAGAGTTACTTCTCCCGTTCATATAAAGAAATGTAAAGAAAACATGACCTCAACCGCGGCTTTTCAGTTTATCAATAAACCCACAGCACTTGTTTTAGTAGCAAACACTAGTGGTATTGTTTCTCTACCAAAAAAAAGCAATTGAAGTGGCAAGAGAGAGAAAAATAAATAATGTAAACATTTTATATAGCCGTCTTCTCCTCTTAAAGAATAATTCAGCAATTAATCAAAGTACTACAAACGGTGTGTAAGTACATTGACTCTCGACTCTGGCGTAGAGGCCATTTCCAAGGACGGCTTGAACAAAACAACATCCACTTCTCTGGCATGGGACTATTTATTTGTCCCTGTAGCTATGGAAACCCATGGCAGCCTCTGATGGTGATGGGATAGAGATCAAGGATGAGGTTGACTCATATCAACCCCCCCATCTCCCCCACATAGTGGACAAGCCTGACAACCCCCTCTCCCTGACGAGCCCAGCGCCTCTTTAACAGTTGACTAACACAGTTGTTCCTTTCGCACACAGAGATTAACAACAAGCGAGAGCGAGAAAGTGCACGGTCAGCTTACTGCGATGCGGAGCAGGGTCCCCTTGACGGCCGCCCATCGGTCTTGCCGTCGATCGATGACAAGGATGAAACCCACGCCAGTCGAAGACAAACTGAAGCACACAGACAGAGAACATGTCAATGAATTACTGGTCTAATAACGTCACGCTGCAAAGTGAGCAGAGCGCGATGACAGCGCAAAGAAGGGTGAGAAGACAACTTTTACCTAACAGGTAAACAGAAATCTCACACTGCAGCGAGATATGCCCCGATCCAATGACTGTTGACACTTTCAATAGAAGCAGTTGAGAAACACAAGAGTGCAAAGAGAAAAAACAAAAGACATAAAACATACATGTAGTGTTCAGTTGCCGTGCGCGCAGTGAGACGACAGTGAACCTGAGTGCTTGTTCACAGCTCGGTGTTTAGTTACGCTTCTCTTTATCTTCTTGGACAGCTGGTGCACTCCATAAAAGGAAATGCTGTGAAGTACCTCCAGATTTTTTGCCGCCCCCCCCACCCCCCCAGATCTCTCCCTGCACCCCGCCCACCCCCCTTCCTCTCTGGTCCCAGAAGAGAGGAGGGCTGTATGGTTTACACGCCACCAGCAATCAATAACAATGGCATGTGCCGTTCACCCGCAGAATCTCCTGCGTCTACTTAAAAAAACGATTCAACTACAGTCCTGATAGAACCGTGCAGGGGCATCGCTGTAATCCTCACGTATTTGCTTTGCCGTCCGCCATCATGCAAAGACTTACTGCGCAGGGCAACTGATTAAATAATGAGCAGTCCTGGGAAAGTAAAGCCAAAACAAAAACACAGGACACGTTGTTGTGTCTGAGAGGTGGATCCCAGTGTGCCGTGCCGTTTGAAGGGGAAGGAGCCAAATGCTTCAGACCCCACAGCATCCAGCCGGCCACCCTGCACTGCCTCCATCAGTCCTCCAATGAGAGACTGGGGGCTTCTGAGACAGGAGCGTATTGCAGAATGGCTGCAGAGTGATGGGCAGCTCTAGAAGCCAGTCAGCGGATGTGGGGGGAGGGGACAGACTCAAAGGAGGGTGCTTTTGTGAGCACGAGGCTTCATTTGTTAGGAAAACACTGAATGTTTATCCACGTCCGCTGCTCCACTTCGTCCCACTGCAACATTTACATTGTTACTGGCACTCGTCCATTTTTTCTGCACTTTCCCCGTCATCCCTATATGAAAGCTGTGCGCCGAGTCACCCAGGGGGAACCACTCGGGCTTTCAAAGCACAAACTGCTTTAACCTCAGCCAAAGAGGAGACGAGTGGGACAAGGGCTCTTACTGCCTCCAAGACAGTTACAGCCGCTGAGATGAGACTGTGGTTTATGGTGAACACACAGCACTTGAGGCTGAAAAATAGAAAAAAACACTATGAAATAACTGCTGCCGACGCAAAAAGACAACGTCTAAAAATTGTCATGTGTGACAGATGGTCATCTATATACATTACATAACAATATAATTGATAAGTTTTTCAGTCTACTAGAGGGATCGTTGTAAGTTAAGCACTAAACTCTAAAACAAATCATCATGTTAAAGGTTATTTTGAATATATAATTACTTGAACAAGAATATTTTGAAATCATCCAACGTCTTGTATGCTTGTCATTTGTATTGTAAACAAACATCTCACCGTTTAATTCAAATATGCATAGAAACCACTTGGTGGTTATGCACCTGCTGCTGCTACATGCATCAGTGTGCTTATAATAATTGGATTCCTCTGGACAAAGTGTGACGCTGTGAGTTGTGAAAAAGCTCTGTCTAATGGCGATGCAGTGATGAGGCGATTTGCTGCATGAATGCATATGCGAGCCTGCTGCAGCGTCCCTAAAAATAGATTAAAGCATCTTACTTAAATCTTACTGCAAAAGGTACCTTTTTAATATAAAATATATCAGCCAAAACTAGATCCATATGTGCACACATTTGCACCGCCGAGGAGAGATTAAACAAGGAAATGGACAAAGGACTTTGCTATTAATTCATTCCGCTGCAGGAACCTCCGTTTCAGGACCAGCAGCCTCAGGAATAGTTTCTACCCCCAGCGGGCAACACCCTCCACTCTGCACCACGTTGAGTCCCTAACTTCCCCTACTCCCACCATCCCCTCTCCATCATCGCCAACCTCCCACACACCCTCCTCCCAGTCACACTGGCACCTTTACTGTTTACATATGTACAGTTTATATACACACACACACTATATTATATGCGCATAGCACATTTTTTTTTAATATACTGCTTTCCTTGCCCTTCAGATGCTAGTTGAATCTGAATCCCCAGTCTAAAAATCCTAAAGCATATTGAAAAGGATTTGATACTTAAGACATTATATCTTTACAACATTAGACATCATATCATATTTTCAATAAATAAACTATTTATAGCAATAAACATAAGGTATGATAAACCAACATAATTAATATTGCTCCAAAGGTATTTGTTTTAAAATAGCAGCAGCTGTTCAGGGGCACAACACAGACTTGCAGGACATTTGCCCCCAGCTGTGGACTGTGCGCCCTGTCGGGGCATCGGCTATCTGCCTCAGTGTTCAGAACACCTGGGGCTTCGGCGCCATCTCACCGTTGATTCAGGGCTGCTCATCAAGACGTTGAAGATCATTTGATGTGAATTCATCACACACACACAAGTAAAACACACACACAAGAGACACAGCTCCACTCAGCGGTCTGCATTCATTATTTAGATTTGCTGTGGTTTCTATTTTTACGTACCAGTCGGGTCACGAAGGGTGGGACTGCTAGGAGGAGTGAGTCAGTAGTGGAGGAAATATGAGTATGGGCATGCGATTCTGGAGGGATAGTTTGAGAAAGACATGGTTTCATGCATTTAATTCCCCCCCCTCGTCCAGGTCCGTCCATGTGTACAAAGAGAGTCTGCAGAGGACTGATAACAGACCCTGGATTTTTAATTGGCCCTTTTATTAATACAGGAATGATTCTTCCCCCACAGATAACGATGCAATACACACTGGCTGTCCCATCCAATGCATAAATCATCTGCAGCTTACATCTTTCTGCAATTAAATTGTGCTTACGTATTTACTGCCACCTACTGGCAGACTTATTACACAAAAGGTATTTATACAAAGGAACATGTTCATCTCTGCTGCCTCTCTGACTCAATCACATCCATTCCCACATCCATCTACTTTGAGTTCACTTGACCTGCTCGTCTTTGAAGTTCAAACCCCGGTAAGCCGTTTTACTTTATCACATGATGTCTGAAATGTAAAGAAAACATGACCGCGGCTTTTCAGTTTATCAATAAACCCACAGCAGTGTTGTGCATTATGAGGAAAAAAAAACACATTTCTTGTGACTCCGGGAAAGCGGTTTGGTGTTAAAGCGTTGATAACAAGAAAGGGACAGGAAATCAGTGGTAGTACCGTAAGAGAAGGAACACGTCTACCACTAGATGGCGTGCCCGTGATAATCAGTGAGGGACATTACCTCGGAACACTAGTCAGGTAGGTCAGCACGTTGTGAAACGCTCCGTCCGTGATCTCTCCAAACGCAGGGAATTCTGGGAACACAATGATGGGGCTGCCAGTATCTCCTCTACCTCCTATAAGATTGAAGACAGAAGAACATTAAGACGTTTTCAATTGAGGGATACCTCTAAGAATATTTGGATCTATTTGCAGCTCTTTGGGGATGATGCAAAAAGTTGCAAGTCCCTGTGGGCTGGGACAAAAGAAAATGTCTTTATTACTGTTAGAATAAAGCCACTTGGGGGCACTGGTGTTAAAGCTCTATTACTGATGGTTGTGGACGGTCCTGAAAAATCTCTGAAAAAAGGGGAGAATAAGGTAGTCGACAGTTGATTTAATCAGTCATAATAATAATCATAGACCAGACAAAAAAGTCCAGCATCTCATTATTCATGTCATAGGACAACAATCGTACCACAAAGTTTTACTTAAAAACTTTTGTTCTCTTATTCATGAGAAAACAAGAAAAATTGAAAAATAAGAAAAAAGTTTTTTTAATACCTAAAACAAAGTTAATTTGCTTGCTGATTTAAATATGATGAAATTCACATGACTTCACATTCATACGTCAACTCCTTTTCCCAACAGAGCTCTACGTGACCAAAACATTAATGTTAAAAGAAAGCGGTTTGTTTGTTTGTGTTAGGCTCACTGGCTCATCTTTAGAAGACGAACGAAAAGGCGTTTTAAAAAGGGTCCTAAATTACAGAAATTTGAAATGTATTACATGACAAAAAAAAGAGGAGGAACATGTTTGTAAACACCGACTGGTGCAAACACCCAACAGCTTTAATCTTGCACGCACGCACACACGCACACACCTCGGTCAGTGCATGTGACTGGAATATTAATCCCTCTGCCTTTTCTTCTCTCATCACTATAGCAACAGTGAGTGCATGGTCATGGTTTCAATGTTGTTGCTTAAATATTTGTCTAGTTGGCTGCAGTCACAAGGTCAGCGCTTACTGAGTACATTACTGCTAGAAATTACATAAGTGGAACAAATAATTCTGTGGAAGACATCTCAAATGTTGTGGGAATACACAAAACATGGCTTTTATCATGAACTGGATCGTAAACAAAATAAGTTAGGCAGAAACATAAACAAGCAATGACGAAAATAGAGGGAGTGAATATTTGAATAGCAAATCATAACTGCAAAGAGCAACAGTTCACATTAACTATTCAAATATTAGGTGCCGCAGGGAAAATATAAATTATTCCTGTGGCGGCAGAGAAGAGGCGTATGATTGTTGCCAATTAAGAAACAAACAGATGGACGAGATGACAGACAGAGATCCCAGTACACACAAAACCAGTGGTGGAGATGCAGGAGTCACCTGAAAGGAAGGCAAACTGCTTCTTGAGGTCGGGCGTGATGTCAGCAGCACGGAGGGGACTGCTGTCCAGCTGCATGATGTCATCTGGAGGAAACAAGGAAGGGAAATATTAGTGACGTCAGCGCTGAAGATGTACAGGATGGTTGGAGCCGGAAATCCGTAAAGAGCGGCTTTGCAGTACGTCAACAGAGGGAGAAATACTAGGGAGGAATAACTATGGCAGTAACATTTACAGTCACTTACCATCTCCCACACAAATAGTACACAGTGCAGTATGTTTGACAGTACTTACTTCAATTCAATAATCACTTATACGTTTTTTGGATTCTTTGTTTTCCGAAGAACATCGCAGAAAAAGGTTTTCTTGATGAGGGGTAATAGGTGATATGGAAATGGACATTTTGTTGGTGAACTGTTGCTGATCGCTGCAGCAACGTAGAATTGTTGTTGATCTTACATACAGCATTGACAACAGGCTCTGTTGTTCCCCTAATTCCACCTTCAACAGCGATCCATCCCCCACGGACTCCCTCCACAAGGATTAAAATAATCAGATTTAAGGTTCTATACCCCCAGTAGGAGATTGGGATTGTGGTTATTAAAGGGATCAAACTGGAAGACGACACACAGAGGACACAGGCAGTGCATTAGCAGTTTAGCAAAAGACTTTAGGATCAGGTACAGCAAAGGCTGAATCTTTGTATGGCACCCAAATGTTGAACACTGCTGCAGTGAACTAAAAACCCAACAGTAAATTATCATAGTTCATACTGAAAATCATTCATAGTGTATCTATTGATTTGTATTTGAGAAGCTCAAATAAATAAAAAGTGTTCTCTCTATTAGGTTTCTAAAGCCTTTAACAGAAAACGTACATAACAAAACATAACACACTGTGTCGTGTCATCAGCTTTATTCTTTTTTTGTCGCAATGACTAAACATCCGTCTGTGACAAGTCATGCACACATCATGAGGCGAGAAGCCCGAGGGAAATAAAGTAATGGACTACACTGTTCAGTCCTTGAGAAGCCACTATAAAAGAGTAGTTTCTTCAGTATCAATCCTTCGGGCCTGTTTGCTGTGCAAACATTTGTGTTAAGATTCCTTCCATCTGGGCGACTGAGTATCAGAACCTGAAAAACTGCTGCTCAATTACTGGCCACATCTACCAAATGGACGTTTAAAGATACGTATATAGTTTATATTTAGTTACAGGCAAATTGCGCCCTGTAGTTTACTCTGTCATTAAGGCTAAACGACCAGATGTAGTCATGAAGAACATTTCACATTTCCTCGGTTTTCTTTCCTTTTCTTCTGTGTGAAACACTTCCATGTCCAAGGCCCTACCCACCATTGCGGTCAGGTCCGTTCCTCTGTATTTTTATGAGTAAAAATAACTTTATTTTGGTGCTGCAAATGCCAAGGTTACCAACTTGCTCATATGATCTTGAATCTGTTGCGCTGCGTTAAACTGAGGACAATAATTCGGGCTATATTAGTTCCATTTATCATTTAAAGCTTCAGTAAGTGCTGATGGCTTGAGAATGCAGGTGGAACATTTTGGGGAAAACCGAGGATGTACATCGAAGGACCATGAAAGCCATGAGAATACAGGAAGGGAGTGTTTCCCAATGAAACATTATCCTTAAACGTGGCTACAAACACAATAGTCTGCAAAGTTAAATTAACTATTTGGAACTTTTTCTCCTAGTCTGACTTTGTTTGGCCCCTCAAAGTTACGCCGAGTAATTCCCAAAAATGTTGTAGAGCAGTAACTATAAAAGTTCATGTTAATTTTTAAGTTCAGACCAATGTGGATGCAATGTTCCAATGAATCAAATGGAATACACAGCTTTTTGTAACCCTTTGTACGGCACAATACCTTCCCAGGCTGAGGAACGTCCAGCTGGTGTAGCTTCGTACTCAGTCCATCTCGGAGTACCACAAAATAACCATCATGTTATGGATGTTGATTCCCTCTTTATCCAGACGGCCTCGGTTTGTCCCTTTACAGTCGCAACCCTTTGACTTCAAGCACTCCCAGTGGACTCCAGTGTTAACAAACCAGCGAGTCACACTGTTAACTGTTTGTTTTGCAACACCCATCAGGTTGTTGGCCCTAGGACATCAGTGCAAGGGGGTTTATTGCTTGCTTTCTCTTTCACAGACACACACGCTGCTTGAAGACAGGATTAGTTCAAGTGTGTCTTCTGGGTTTCGTATTTTCAGTCTCCTGCCTCCATTAAACCTTTTTGAAAAGGCAGAGCAGCTGCTGCCATGCCTGTTGTGTCAAAACAACATCAATCACAAGGTTTCACCCATTCAGGGGACTTAAAGGACCATACCTGTGTTTTCACAGGTCAGCCCAAGACACTACAATTCTCCAACACGTCACCGAACCAGGATGTTACAGAGCAGACCGTGTGGTTGTAGATCGCTTTCCTGATGGGCAGGAAATACTTTAAACACGGTCAAAAGTCCCAAGAGAATCATTACATTAATTTGGCAAGTGCATCTAAAGGAAAAAGAGCTAAAGGTCCAAACAATCGGCAAGCGGAAATAGGACTTTGTGAGAAGTTACTGAGAAACGAGTGAGGAACCTCGTGATTGCTGCTGAAAAACCGCACATATAAAGTAGCTAATAATGAGGAGCTGGTAAACAAAGGTTCTGTACGGCTGATATGTGTTTATAGAGTCTGACACGAGAAGAGCAATCAACCCATGAGAGAAAATAGCTCAGTGCAAACACCTTTTTCCCTTCACTGCAGCTTCTGTTCACAGACTAAATCTCGCCTGACAGCAGGAGACCTCAGAGGCTGACGCACATTACTCGTTTCTACCACGTCCAGCAACAGAGACACACACAAAGATGGACACACATTAACACCATTTCCAGTAAATATTATTAACAGGCGGATAAAAAGCCTACTTGTGCCCAAACAAACATTATTGATCCCGCAATCAAGTAGACTGTCAAGTTTTTGTAATTTGTTGTCTTCAGATAGGTATTTACAACTAAATACATTTGGTCTTTTATATTTCTACCAATAATATAGGGAATATGGTTCTGTATGAGCCTTCTCATGTATTAATGGGATACTATTTCATTTGACATCTGTAGTCAACATATATTGATTAGGGACAAGTAACTGACGGATATCTAGGGATGTTATATCGTTTCCTATTCTTTTAACTTAAAGCATGTTTGTGAAGCAAAATGTCTCCTTGACAGAAGTCAGGCAGCTCAAAATAAGATGAGACAAATATACCTTTCATGTTTGCACCTGTTAATGACGGCCTGTCTACAGGCACTCACAGGCTCCTCGTGGAGTCAAGTTCAGTTTCCACTTTCTGACCCAGCCTCACTTACTCAGTGGGCCACGCCTCGCCCCCAGCAGCTCCCACACATATCAAAACCACCCCCCCCCACCCAGGCTACAAAAAGCAGCACTTTGTCTCCAGGAGGCTATTCGGTTACTGGGAAAAACCCCTCCAGGAAGATGAGGTTTGAAAAGTAGCCTCTTTTTACACCTTCTTCCTATCCTGCCTCTCCTCATTTCTTCCTACAACAACATCACATTCTTTCAAACGTCCACTCAGTCGACGCAGTGGTGCACAACCAGCAACAGGCCCTTGGTCCATTAGGAAGAGAGAGGATGTTTGAGATACTACCGTATTTCCATACAGTGTCCTTTCCAATTAGCTACTATCGATGATGTCACGAGGATGTTCTAAAAAGGACAACTATTATGAATGTATCTAAAGGATTAACTTATTATGGTGATCTAAAATAAAGTCTGGGTACATTGACACAGATTTTGCAAGGGGAAATGGCCTAAATTACTTTAGTGTTTATTTTACTCACCTTTGTCTGCATTGTATTAAATGGTATATGATTAGAGGATACTCCTCCCATTGAGCACTTTGTCTGCTAATAAAATACACTTGGTGAAGACATTATTTCTACAACATACACTCACACCCAACGACAGAACCTGCTGGTTGAGGCGCTAATGTTCTTTAGAAGGCTTAACGACGGGGATTAGTGTCCACTCCCGCTCGTGGGCGACGAGTCAAACGTTAGTGGGTCAGTGTCACACACCTGGACGGCCTGCTTCTACTGACACGGATCAAACAAGACCTAAAACTCTGATTCCTCAGGCTAGAGAGACGGGAAAACTGAAATCCTTTGGACAAAACTGTGCTCAGTATTGGACAGGTCAGAGTTGGGGGTAACAAAATGGACACCAACAAACGGAAAGAGCTTGGGCAGCAATTCGGAATTAGGGGCTTACAGTCATGGTGGGGGACAGAAACAAAGCACACCACTAAATACGGCTGAGCAGTGACGGATGAGTCCATATAATATCAGGGGTGAGAGGGTTCAGATGAGGGTTAAAGAAGACAATGTTTAGGGCGATTGCTCCGCTGGGTCTTTAGTCACACAATGAAGAAATAAGGACACAGTTTGTGATCAGATAAAAACAATCTGGGGAAAAGCTGTAAAACAGCAATCATCTTGTAGAAATGAATGAAAAAACAAATTGCCAAAACAAACGCAGTTCTATACTACCTCAGCTCTTCAAAACTTGGTTTGGTCTAAAAAATGCAATAATGCTTCAATCTTGCGCTTTATCAAAATGTTATACCAGACCGTATATGTGTATACACACACACACACACACACACACACACACACACACAGGACACTAGAGTGCGTGGTTTACAGTCTCTTCTTACATCAAATAGATTCTAAAGAGGGAAAAAACAGACATAAGATGAAACTGAATAAAGCAAATGACAAAGATTTCTCCAAATCTAACTCTAGGTGGGAGCAAAGGTAAAAGAGCGTGCAGAGAACTCGTGCAGAAAAAGGACAGGTACAAGATGTGTTAAGATAAGAGAACCAAACTGTGCTTACTAAAATACAAAAGGGACAAACTCCCCACAAAAACATATCACGTATATGCAACATGGAGAAAGAAGAAGGGAAGAATCCTTTTGTGAACAAAGAAGGTGAAGGTATTGTAAAAACATCCAATACCTACCACACAGCCAATGGCAGCAGCGAGCAAATCGGTGA